AGCGAGGTGATTGTGGCTATCAGTCAATGCATCCCCATTGCATACCAGTGAGACAAGACGCTTGATAGCCATTGCATCAATCAGCTCGCCTACTACCACTGGGTCAGCGTTCCAAACGTCATTCATGACGTGGTCATGCTCATTCTGCCACTTCCGATGGTCTGGAGTCTCCAGATTGATATTCGCCAAAAGCTAGCTTTAAGCGGTGTCTTCTTGATTGGTTCGATGTAAGTATCCTCATAACTTGAGCTCTCCTTACGCTAGAGAAGTTGCTGATTCCCCCTATGTAGAGGGTGTATCGCATCCTTCGTTCGCCTGTCTATCTTTTTCAAACTTAACGCCTTGTCTGATAATACCTGGGCTTCTATTCAATTGCAATCATGGACCCTCGCAGAGACGGGTGTGATTTTGATCAGTTCTTGCCTCCCAGCCCTTTGGCCGCTCATTTTATGCACTATTACGCGAAATGGCACTCCCCGTAACAAGTTTTCGAAGGGGATGAGTCCACACGAAGGGCTCGAATCAAATCGATCCAAAGGTAATGAAGCTTGGCGATCCAGTCTTCCTGGCTTGATAGGCACTACCGAGCCCTCATACTCCGGCCATCCATCATTCCTACACCGGCCAACACTAACCCTTTCGGGTTAGTGGTGGCCCCCGGTGCCCCGGGGAAACCTGTATCCTTCGAATTCAAGGTCCTCAACCAACACGCGTTGGGGAATAAGGGGCACTGTGGGACGCCACCGGAGTACTTCCTTGACAACCGCCGAGCTATAGGGCGCACTCGTCAAGTCATTTAAACCAGGTAGCCGATAAGTCTCAACACCGCATATGTTGTCCAACTCGAGTCGCATGCGCCGCATGGGCTCCGGCCACGCAATGCAGGTCATTATAAACGCGTTAAGTGTCATGCGAGGGTTATCGGAACCAGCAGTGATAATGAATAGCGTGATATACATCGCCTGATCATCAGTGCCACCGTACTCTCCAAGCATTGTTTTCCGGACAAATGAGGATTTAGGAATGTGTGTACTCTTTAACTCCGACCACCAATGCTTGAAGACGCCGTAATGGAAGTCCCCCATGGTTTCCCAGTGAGAGCGCCAAAATTGGAGGCACTTAGGAAGGAAGCTGATATGCGGGTAAAAATCCACAACGCTGCTATTAATGGCGGTTAAGAAAGTTGATGTTACTCTCTGTAAGCCTTCCAGTTCGCCTGTGGTCTTGTGTAATGTCGTATCGGTGACAATCTGATATATGATAGCTATGGCAAAGCGATAGTTGTGTGCGTACCAAGTATCTGGCTCATCTAGATAGGACCTTAGCAATCCCAAGCTTGCCTCCTCGGCGAGACCGTTGTGAAACTTTGAGCCTTCTCCCATCATAAGTTGATGTAGTAGTCGCCGGGCTTCTCTCCATTCCCCGGTCTTCTGCAGAAAAAGCCGGTGATCTTTGCTGACCAACCCCCCAGCAATTGGAAAGTACGGTCTCTCGTGAGTGACGCTAGCCCTCTTTGCGATTATTTCGTTGAGCACTCTCTGACTATTCAGTAGTACCCAGGTTCTAGTCCCCATGCTTAAGGTTGTCATCTCGCCATACTGCGCCTGTTCCTGAAGCTAGAGGCCAGTCAGTAAAATGGCGTGGAATGGCAAGATATCTTGACTGTATGGGCGAGGGACATACCCATGGAATTAGAAGACCATTACTCCTGGCCTTGAGCCACGGTAACAACGAGCCAAGCAATGGAGAGCCTTTAGGCCCCTGGGGTAATACATATTTCCCACTGGCCAGCCTGAAACGACGGTGAGGCGGGAGCAGTAGGTTGCGAATAATAGGGAATAATGAAAATAGTAGCAATGAAATAATCGCTATCATAAAATGGTTGAGTAAGGCGGGCATAGTTATAGACGTTAGGCTGTAACTAAATGCGAATTAGTCTGGAGAGCTTAACTAAAGACGAAGTTGACTCTGCGAACCAACTTTCGTCCGTAATATTATTTCTTATGCAGGACAATAGCTCTTGGGTAAGACAAGATTTACAAACACTTATCTAATACTAAAAAATTCGAGACGATGGCTCTAACTCGAACTAACTAGCTAAGGAGCTCTCCTAATGTAGATGTTTTGATAAGGTTGACGATGCTACGTCGGGCTGAGGGCCGAGAACTATTTCTATCACACTGTGCTCAAATACACTTACTCGCATGCATTAGCTGCTGTACCATTTGAAGGATTCCCCATGACGAATAATGATGTTGCTTCCACAAAATGTTTTTGCTGGGTGGGCCATGGGTGAGAGCCGCAATGCTACACCAACATAATGCAGATGAACGGAAATTTTCTCAAACAAATTCTATCAGTGTTTTCATACTTTCCATGCGGAGAAAATGAATGCTATAGTCGTACCTACTCATTCAAGGAGATGGGTTCACATTAACCCTTGTCGTTCTGAAAATGCATGAGATCCTTGCTTCTTGCCACTTTATTTATGCAGGTCCAGACAGCCAAGTTAATACAGAATATAATAATCATGGCTCGAACCCGTACTTGTGACAGGGAGTGAGAATCTCGAGTAGTCAAATAGTTTGCAGTTAGGACCCTCGTCTATTTTATCCGAAAATAAGGTTTTGTTTCCCAAACGACTCCCTCGCATTCAAACACATTCAATATCCATTATCACTTTAAGTGAAGCGTCTACACAATGACAACTCGCACCTCGGCCCGTATTATCCCGCATGGGGAGACAGGCCCAGCCAGTGATGGCAAACAGTTTAACGCCGCCGAGAACATATCAAACCACACCGAACCCTTCACCAACTATTTCCCACACCTTCCGGCATACTCGGATCCTACCACCGGGGTTCTATCAAAACTACCGCGCTCATGGGTCCCCTACGCCCAGCTAATGCGTATAGACCGGCCGGGAAGCCTCTACGTCTTCTACTTCCCGTACCTAATCGGTCTGATGTACAGCGCGTGTATAGCCTCTCCAGCCCCCGACCCGCTCACGCTGCTGTCCTTTGCGGCAATCCTGCTGCCCTTCAACATCGTGCTGCGCGGTGCGGCATGCACGTGGAACGACACGGTCGACCAAGACTTCGACAGGCGCGTTGTCCGCTGCCGTCACCGCCCCGTGGCCCGGGGCGCCGTGTCCACCCCCGCAGCACACCTCTTTACCGCACTACAACTCGCGCTACTCTATCCTGCTACCGTGGCATGCTTTCCTGCGGCTTGTAAGCCGCATTTCCTTATCATGGTGCTGCTCTTCGGCGTGTACGCGTTCATGAGGCGTGTGACGTACTACCCACAAGTTGTGCTCGGGGTACCGTTCGCGTGGGGGGTATTCTTCTGTGTCGCGGCGTTAGGCATGGAGCCCATCTCGTTCACTCTACCGTTATTAGATGGCTATTTTGCCCGGGGCCAGGAGGGCGACAAAACGAAAATAGAAGAGATGGGCAAGGCAACACTTGCCCTTTTTAGCGCGAACGTCCTATGGACAATCACCTACGACACCATCTACGCGCACCAAGACGTGGCAGACGACGCAAAAGCCGGGGTGAAAGGCATGGCGCTCAAGTTCAAACACAGCACCAAGCTACTCGCCGCCGTGATTAGTGTAAATCAAGTGGGACTCTTGGTTCTGTGCGGACTATGGGCTAAGTTTGGGATATTGTATTTCTTGGGTACTGTTGGTGGTGTCAGCTTCGCACTGGCTTACTATATCTACGATGTCGATCTAGCGTCACCGGAGAGCTGCGGGAAATGGTTCCATGATCAGTTTTGGATTGTAGGCGTCCCGTTCATATCAGGTTTTATTGGCGAATACTTATCCAAGCGGGAAGCCTCTTGAGCCACAATATATATAGCATGAGCTCGTTTCGCGTGGGCCATACCGATGACAATAATAAAGTTGCGCTAACTTCAGCGTGGAGATCATACATCAAAACTATACACAACAGTACTTAGGTACTGGTCTTGGTATTAAGAGGCAAGTTAGGGGTCTCCCCAGGGGGTCGATTATTAGTTGGACCATCGTTGCACGGAAAGACTATTATAAAACGCCCCTGTAGGTTGACTCTTACTAGATAAACGGTACTCAGGGTATCCGTATAAATGAACAAATAAATATAGAGGTAATATATCGAGAGGGATTAAATTATAAATATACCTTATTGTTATAGAATATAAAAATCGATATCCTCCTTAAAGTATTGCAGCAAGAAATTATCCAATAAACTTTATAATTAACTGTTAAAGGAAGTTAAAAATGAACAGTATAAATCTAACAACTTTATAACAAGATCTGAACCAGCTCAAAGCTAAGTCCTTTTATAAAGCTCACTTCTGCTAGAGCCTTTCACTCTAAGCATTTTAAGTGAGTTTATAACAAAAATTGTTATTTCTCAACTTCAAAACCAAAATCTAGATTGTGGGCTTCAATATATACTGTGTCCCCTAAGTATACCTGCTCGTATCTAACATGTATTTCCCATTCGTCATCTAAGACAACTCGATAAACTATAGGTGGTCATCTACATCAATATAGTATTCTCTCCTCCCCGACAAGCTCTAAACATGGACTTCCGATAACATCGTTGCAGCCAGCAAACGTGCTATCTACAGCAATTCATAGCAACGCAAGGTCAGATAATACAAAGAGAGTCAAGTACTTGCGCGCGCCCTTGCCACAAGCTAGAGATAAATAAGTCCTCAACATGCGTCCAGATCTCCCCTCAACCCAAAGATTTCAGCTATGTAGATACTCCGCCTCGCCGCTCTAACACAACCAACCAACCAACCAACCATCACTCACACATACATACCTACATACATATATACAAACCCAACCACCTTCTTTCTCCCTCAAACAACGAACCCACCAACGGTTCGTTCCTCCACAGAATCCACCTACCCACCCACACATTGAATTGAAACCCACGATAGCGCCACCCAGGTCCCATCCAGCAACCACTAGCCAACCAGCCAGCTAGCGGTCGCCGGGCCTCGTGGCCTAATGGCATGGCGTCAGATTTCGGTTCAAATAATCGTGGGTCCTAAAAAAAAAAAAGACACACGAGAGCTTATTCTCTGAAGATTGTCGGTTCGAATCCGGCCGAGGTCGAGTGGGTCATCTCTTATACACTACGTCTAGCATCGTTGTATTTCTTTTATTTTATTTTTTTATTCTCTTTTTTATAAAGCTCTGCAGTTTTTAGTGATATTATGTAATCATGCTGTTTAAAGAAGCATGGATGGGGCTCAACTTATCTAATCAGATCGATTTGATTGGCTTGCTTATCCTAAATTAGACTAGCAGCACTTCTCATTTCCAACGCCTCCCTTGCAGGTATACACTTGGCATTATCAATTTAAGCTTTTTTTTTGCTCACAAGATAGGTAATAGAAGTTCTCGACTAACACAGCGTGAAAATGGCAACATGACAAACCGGGCGACTGTAAATATTGAAGCCATGGGGCTGTAACCATTGAAATCTTGCGTGTATATAGCTCTGTCTAACCCTACCCTGGGGAGAAAAACATGATATTATTATCTCCCACACCCGGCACCCCACACGTTATTAAAGCTTCACAAGCTCTGTGATGAACAGGCCGTAGCCCAACAAAACACAACACATGCGCAAACAAATGCAACAACCCAAAGAAAGAGAAATCAAGCAAGGGGAGTGAAGACACCACCGAAACATTGAAAGTACTGATATTCAATACGCCTGATTTCTTTTTATCGCCAAGACCGCCCCCGTCTCATTCCATAGGATGTACCAGACGCCTTAACGCCGTCCCCCCCGTACTGCCAACGTGCCCGTTGCCCGATATACCCTATCTGATTACAGGAAGAGACAGCCACGAAGGTGAAATAACGAAGAGGAAAAAACGAGATGCTCCTTTTCTGCCCCCACCTGACTTGTGCATTAAAAACAAGGGCTCCCCTTGTAAGGTATGACGACGGTTGGTGAGGTGTCGACTCTCATCTCATACTAGCTGTGACTTCAGAATGAGCGACGGAGATGTTCAATCCCACCGGATTGTATCCAAAGCTGTAAGCTGATCTCCACGACGAAGCGCAACAGTTCCCAACAGGCCTCGGAATCATATATCCTCCCTGAATATAGACCTCCGCTCTGTGATGGATGTGGGGCTATCATGCGGGGGGCCTCCGGGGGTAGTAGTGGCGGCGGCCTTGCGCGTATCAATAGGCCGTGGACTGACGCCTCTCAGGCTCAAATTACTCGGCTCAGCGGCAACGTCATCGAAGGGATTGCTATGGTGGCTCCCTTCCCTCGCAGCAGGTTTACCAGCGGACACGTTGAGGCGGGGGTTGGGATTGCGCCCTCTGTTCTCATCCGCGCCATCACCCGCGAGATTCATCTGGTAATCGGACCCCGAGTACTGGCCGCCCAATCCACCGCCGCCGCCATGGTGGTGCGCCCTGTCTTCCAGCTCCTGGTCCTCGGGGTAGTAGGATGCGCCAACGCGCGCGTCCCAGGCATCGTCCGGGTCGAGGGGACCGAAGCCGCGACGGCCGGCGGGGGCGCTGGGCTCGTATGCGCCGGCTGCCGAGCGCGGGTTCTTGAGTGACTGGAACCGGTCGCTGAACCACCCGCGCACGCCGGCTGCCCTGGGCTGTGGCCCCCCGTAGGACGCCTGGCTCGAGGAGCCCGCGAAGGGGATGTACGAGGACAGGGGCGGGGAAGGAAGCTGTGGATTTACATGTTAGCTCGATCGATGTGGTGCGAGGCCTCGCGGATAGTGCGGATGCTGGAGTCCAGGGCAAGTAAGGCGAAATGAGGGGTAAGGCGTATTCATCATGTTGTCATTGCCGACTGCGAGGTCGACGACAACTAGGAAAGCAAAAAGGGGATGGGAGGGGAAGCGGAGAAGAGGAGGGGGGGCGGATGTGGTGATGCCCGGTGTCGTGAAACAGGCATGAGGCTAATGCGCATGCGCGACATGGTGTAGAACGGAGACAGAGACAGAGACAGAGATGTAAACGTAGACGTAAGTAGACGTAGACGTACCCCCAGACGTCGTGCGCGCAGCTGGGTGAAGACGACCCAACCAACGGCCGCAACGACCAGCAGCACGGCGAGGACGATGAAGAAGGTGCCCACGGCGCTGACCATCTTCGGCTCGGGGATGGAGAAAGGGAAACGAGCCCGCCAACGAACGCGCGATATGCTGTTTGCCAGGTGATGGTTTCGAGGCACCTGGAGTGGATGGATGGTTGGATGGTGGACGGGTGGACGGGTGGACGAGGTGGACGAGGGTGGAGAGCTCCGGGATTGATTGCACCACGCTCACTCGCTCACTCGCTCTCTCGACCTTGGCCTACCCACACACTACCTAAGCTGGAGCTTGGGCTTGGGCTTGGAGAAGAGGGACGCGTTGCGTTGCGTTGCCGATGGTGGCGCACGACGGGAGGCGGGGTGCGTTGGGTGATGGAGGTGTCAGGCGTCGTGTCGGCTGAAGGTCATGGTCGTTTGTTCATGCATCAGTAAGTAAGTGTGTAGGTAGGTAGAGGTAATTACTAAGTAAGTTAGGTAGGTATGTATGTAGGAGGTACGCAAAGTACACTACGGTGGTTTGGCTAAGCTTATTGCCGATTACAGTACGAAAGTTGCTCACGGTTCGGCCGGACTGGAAAAGCCACCATTCAACAAGCCTACCTTACAGTTACAGGGGGGTGTTCCGCTAAATTTAGCATACCTAGATACCTAGATAGGTGGTACCCTCTCTAGGTACCCGGACACCAATGCACGACACCCGCCCCCACTTCTGTCCGAGTGACGTGCTGTAGTGGAATGGACTGTATGCGTACCAGTTGCACGGCGAAGTACAGGCGCAATAGGTAGGCACTGCTGACCTAATAGCACAGCTTGAAAGGAAAGGCAGCGAGAGGTAAAGTGGCCCGTGCATCATCTCCATTCTTTCGCATACATACATGCATGCGTGCCTACATCATTAACGAACCCAAGCCCCAACGTCCCCTCCCAATGTCTCACTTGACCAACCTATCAGCATCACCAATCCGCTGCGCATTGATCGAGCCCTCTGTATGTCTCACCCACAGAGGCAAGACCGGACGTGGAATCTGCCTCGTGACTTTTCGTTCTCCATATATCTGGCCGATGCTTGCCCCTGTGCTTCCCGAGAAATGGTAAGGCCGTTTTGGCCCTACGAGGGGGGAGATCGACCGTTGTCGTCTTAGATATGTATACGATATATGTACAGCCCCTATCATCATCTTGCATGTGCGATGTGGGTGCAAAAAGGGGCGATATACCTACCTGTGCATGAGCTGAAAGCTAGCCGAAACCGTAAATTTCCATAGAATGGTTCTATTCTAAACTATCTAGTCTATCCTGTTTCCTGATTCGCCACTTACAAAGTGCGCCTGATGATCGACTGACAATTAGTAGGACCGTAGGTGAATGCTCTAACGGAATTGGATCGGAATCGCCTCATGAGGGCTCTCTCTTTCGCTATCATTCTCACCACTCATATACACCCACTTTCTGAAGCCGGTAGTTGATTAGATCGTGTGCCTCGTCCCTCCAAAGCCGGGACGTATGCATTCAACGTCATTCATTCGTAGCACTTGTCCCAGTGCCCTCCCTGTCTGGCGAAGCTTAGGCTGTCTACGTATTTGCTCAATGTGCATCGACCTAGCGCATCGACGTCGCAGTTCTGTAACGGGATCACTCTGTCGTTCATGAGTACCCGCACGAACTCCTCTTCAGTTCCTTTGCACTGCATCTTCTCCACATACATTCTCGCCGCGAAGGGCACAACCCAGCTGGCCGCGTAACCCCCGCTCTTCCTCGGACTAGCCTTCGTCGTATTCGAGAGGGGCTCGGTGGCGTTGTAGAGACCCATCGCGCCAAACACACCTGACATATCGTTGTCGTGACTAAAGTCTGCGTAGAGTACGCTGTCGAGGGGGAAGCTCTTCCGAGAGCCGTCCAATGTGCTATTCGTGCTCGTGGAGTCGACTACCGGCTGACCCGTGAGCCTAGCAATCAGCTCGTTGACGAAGCCGACCCCCTGTGTTGGCCCTAATGGACTACCGTTGGTGTAGCCGTACCACTTTCCCAGCGACTGGTAGTAGTCGAAACTATTCCACTCGTCCTCATTGAACAGCCTGCAAAACTCAGAAAGATGGCCGTCAATATTCGCAACTGTCTCAAAAGGGCATATGTCCATTAGATGGATGATATCAGAATTCGACAGATTGGCTCCGGCGAGATTCTTGTTGACTCTCTCCGCAATGGGCGGCACGAACGTGTTAACCCAGATCGATTGGGCAGCGTTCCCCGTATCTGGACCCTCTTTGAAAGCGGTGCAGGTCATCGGACTGAGCGTGTTATTGAATCCTTCCTCTTCGGGGAGTATGACCATCTCGTAAGGATAGGCATCCGGAAAGTCGGCCTTCTTATCGGCCAAGCGTGCATGGTGGAAGCCTTGCGTCCAATTTACGGCCGAGTCGACCACGCGCTGTTGGCCGGCGGACCGGACAAAGGGGGAGATGTTCTTTGCGAGCTTCTCGTACCGCCTGTAGAACTTGATGCCCGAATTAACTAGCTCCTGCTGACCAAATACCGTGAGTTGGTCGGCGCCGAGCGTGTATTTGTAATTTTTGATAAAGTCATAGCGCTTCCCGTAGTCGGTTGTGCTGCTATGGATACGGTCTATGAGCTCCGCGTACGCGACGCTCTTGCCCAGTGTGGGATCGCGAGCCCCGTGACGCGACAAAACTTGTGCGAATGTTACCTCACACCCTTTCGGAATGCCGTTCGGGATCTCGGATGGCACAGAGTAAAACGGCGCGTATTGGCCCCAGGCGTGGGATATCGCCTTGTCACACTGGAAACCAGACTGCACATAATCGCAAGAATGCTTCTTGGTTGTTCGTCTGATTACTAATGTCAGTTGAATCGATCGGCAGACGAGGACAGCTGTGTACACACGTGAAGTTCACCCCAAAGATGCCGATGACTGCCAAGAGTAGGGCAGCCCCGGTGAGCCGGATGACGGATTTGTGTCGGTAAGTCCATGCCGGAGCCCTCTGGGATTCCTCCTGGCCGACATGTTCGGGCAGAGCGC